GATGCTTTTATTTTTTTTCCTTTTTAATTTTTTTTTTTTTACTTTTTTGTCTGAAATTTTGTTTTATTTGACGGGAGCACAGGGACAGAGGACCGATGCAAAGGGACAGCGAAATGAATGGGATCAAGATACATGATGTAAAAGACACATTGGATAAATGTTAATTAATCTAAAAATAATTTTAAAAGGAAATGTCTCCCCACCTCCGGAAACCATTTCTTGCCTATAGAGCCCCAGAAAGGATGGCCTCACTTGAAGCAATAAATTAAAATTCATCCAGCCCTCAGGACCTCAGTTTTCTCATCAATAGAATGGGGATTCCCTGTCCCTCCTAACATCAGTGTGGGAATTAAGGTAGGTCCTCAAGAGCACCTACCTGAAAGATCTTCCTCCACCGAGATCGAAGTAACTCCCATGTGTCCTAAGGCTCAGTCTCTACCAGGACACTGAGCACCCCAGGAGATCTCCACAGAAAAATGCAAGCAGCCACTGCACCCAGACAGCATGGTAGCTTCCCAGAGCACAAACAACACCTGCCCTTGGCTCTTTCCTCAGAGAGGGGTCACATTCCTTGGCCTAGTGGTCCAGCACAGGGAAGTAGGGCTGCCAGACATAAAATTTTAGGAGCTCTGTTTTGTTTGTTTTGTTTTGTATTTTAACTTCTGAAACTCCAGGTTCTTTGGCTTGTCTCTGAGGCAAGAGGCGGGGAGGTGGAGGGACGGTTCAGCGGAGAGGGGACAGGCTTCTTGTTCATAGTTGCTAAACAGAAGCACTGCCAACCCAGGGCTGAGGCCAGTGGATTTCACTGGAGTCAAGCTGTGAACCGTTCTCTGTAACATGAGGGGTTGTTTGTTGGGGGTTTCTGTTCTGCCCCATCCCCCAGCTATTTAGTCCCAAAGTAAAATCACACAAGAGATCTCTGTAAGTTATAATGCTGATTGGCCCATTAGGTCAGGCTTCTTACTGGCTAACTCTCACGTCTTGATTAACCCATTTTTCTGATCTATGTTAGCCATGTGGCTCAGTACCTTTTTCAGTGGGGCAGCTCACATCCTACTGCTTCAGTGATCTGGGCAAGAGTGGGAGGAATCAGCTTCCTCCTCCCCAGAATTCTCCTGCTCTCTTTTGCGTCATTTCCACTTCCTGTCTGGTTTTCCCACTTATACCTCCTGCCTGGCCAATCAGCATTTATTTAAAACATGATTGACAGAATACAGACAATTCTCCCGCACCAGTTCTCTATAGACCTCAGATCGAGGCTTGACTTACAGAGAGCCTAGGAGTGCCATTTCAAAACTGGGCCGCATCTGCTGTATCCATCCCTGGGTTTCCACGACAAAGCACCCCAAACTGATGTCTCAGAACAGCTGCAATTATTGTCTTGTGCCTCTGTGGGCTAGGAGTCCTAGGTCAAGGTGTTGGCAGTCTGACCCTTCTAAAATCTCTAGTGGGAGAGTTTCCCTGCCTCTTCCTTCTTCTGAGGATCCTTGGCTGATGACAGTACTATTCCAATCTGCCTCTGCTTTCCATACTAAACCACCCTGGGGGCTGAGGACCAAACCAAGTACCCCATGCAAGACAGGCAGATGCTGTGCCTCGGAGCCACATCTGGACCCATCTTGCTTCAGTTTTCCTGTGAACCTATTCATGTCTTCCTTTTGCATCTCTCTCTCTCTCTCTCTCTCTCTCTCTCTCTCTCTCTCTCTCTCCTTCTCTCTCTCTCTCTTCTCTGTGTGTGAGTGCACACAAGTATGCGCATGTGTGTATGGGTGTAAATAGACATATATGCACAGGTGTATATGTGCATGTGTGTGCATATATATGAAGGCCAGTGGACAACCTCAGGTGTCATTCCTCCTCAGTTACGATCTACCTATGGGTTTGTTTATTGACTTGCTTTTGAGATAGGGTCTGTCACTGGCCCGCTGCTCTACAATTGGGCTAGGTTGGTTGGCCATTGAGTCCCAAGGATCCGGCCTACCCAGCCCTGACAGTGCCCACCATGTCACTGGCATGTCACATGTCACATGGCTCCTTTATGCAGGTATTGAACCTGGGTTCTCATGTTTGCACAGTAAACTTGTTAGGGACTGAGATAAATTTCCCATTTCTATAAGAGATTAGATTCCACTCCCGCCTTCATGACCTCATTTTAAATTTTTGTGCTTCTATTAGGAGCTATTTTCAAATTTGATCATTCTTCAGCCCTTGGAGGTAGAAACTCAAGAGACTTTGTCAGAGGGCTACATGATTAACTCCTAACAGGTATCCTCCCCACACCATGTGCTTGCAAGAGAAGCCGGAGGCTTGAGAGGTGTGAGTTTGGGTCCCCATCTATCAGTGGTTAACTACTTAGTTTTGACAGATGAGTTGGGCCATAGTCCCTCATCTTGCTTCCATGCAAAAAAAGCTTAAATGAGATCACATGACACAGTGATTGTGTAGTGAGAAGTGGCCTCTGAGTTCATTCGGCATTTCCTGAAATGTGCTCACCAGAATATGACTCTTGTGAGGTCACCTTGGGTGAGGAGTGTGCTGGGACTGGGAGCTCTCCTCAGGGCTTCTCGAGATGCGTTGGCAGGGTGAAGACCTGGAGAAAAATCACACACACAGTAAAGGACTTGGTCCCTGTGTCTCCCAAACTCAGTTTACCATGGAAACCTGTTCCTTGGGTAATCCTGGTAATGCTCAATCCATGCTCCACACTTGGAAACCTATGTAGAGTCACCATTCAGTGAACATTAGAAAATCCAGAATTAATCTTAGTCCACATCCTACATGGATTCCCTGCTCCCAGGCCTTCATCTCAGGCTCAAGTATAAGGGGAACTCATGTGGATATGAAATCCGTTTTACTGCTGTTTTTGAATTTTAAAAATCAGTTTAAGTGCTATGCACTCATTAATAAAATGGTACTTGTCATAGAAAGAGTGAGAAAGATGAATAAAATTCACTTTCCATCTCCCCACGTTGAAATGGTGCAACATGGTTTGCTCCTTCACTACACCTGCCACCTGTTGTTGCCCAAGAGCAGGAAGGGGCTAAAGAACCAAGACAAGCAGGGCCCAGAACCAGTTTTCTGAAGTATGTCCTCATGGGAGCTACTGCTCAGACTGTAACCCTTGGCCTCCTAATTCAGTTTCCTCCTTACCATGTCGGGGAGAAACTGTCTATGGAGGAAATTGGTCTTTGGGGGTGCCTGCTTGGTGCACACAATATCATGGTGAAAACTTATTATTATTATTATTTCAGAAAAGAAGCTTACTCTTCTTACATCTTACCTCTTAGATAACATCACTGAAGCTTCAAATATCCACATACATTGCTTTGCCTCAGCCTCAAGCTCTTAGCCTGTGCAAAATCAGGAGAGGAAAATCAAACCAGCCTCCCTTGCAGCTCAGGCGATAGCATGTGCCCAAGCTCTCCCTTAATTTAATTCTGAAGATGGTGACTGAAGCAGAGGCCGTCTGCTGGCACGGATGCTAGTGAGGATCCAGCTTCTGAAGTGACAGCATACAGGGTTGGCATCTATGCGCAAAAGTTATAGTCTTCTCCCGGGCTTGGGGAGGCCGTAGGAAGAGCAGGGCCTGGTTTAGGGGAGTGATATTTTCAGCTCCCAATCTGAACGTTCCCATTATCTTCTGTGTACTCTCTTCCCTGCCCAATCAACCATCAGAAGCTTTGGTTATTCACCACCAGGGAGCCTGACGGTGCACACGTAACAGATACCACTCACCACACAGCTCTAGTGGCTTGGTGAGTCAACAAACCATCCGGTGATGGACAATTTTTAATTGACAGTGACAACACACTCAACCAAATCATTTCCATCCCCGAGTAAACTTTGGACCAAAGTTATACCATGTGGTTTAAGCCAGGCTGATTATGTGACCCATTGACAGTAGCCAAACCTCTACTTCATGTTATATTTTGTACCTAGAGTCCAGATGTCAAAAACCAAAAGGAAGTTTGATTTGTTTGAATGGTCTCTGAGAAGAATTCATTTCAGATCATATTTATCCTTTAAACCAGATGTTCTACGTGTGTGCTCTCAAAATGCCTTCACGGTCGACAACATCCCAAAGACTCAGACAGCTTTGTTTAACAGTGAGTTGTGTCTCTCCATAATGAGAAGGGTGCTGTTGTTTGACATTTCTTCAAGCTCCCTGCTGCCTGGTTTTACACCTGAGAACAACTCTCATACTTCCCTCCTCATTTAGCCTACTATGTATCGTGTACCCAGTAGCCTCGGCCACCCTCTCCTGTCGACTTTAGGAAGAGAAGGTCAAATATCATGTTAACATAACTATAAAAATAGCTTTAGCATCACAAACCTCCTGAAAAGGCCTCCCCGGTCTACACTTGAAGAACTGCTTCTCTAATCACGAAATCCTTTCCTTCTTTGTACCCGTGACTTCAAGTTCAGGGCACGATGGACTTGGGCTGTGGGTCACCTTACGTCCTCACTATCAGCCTGCTAGTGTGATCTCATTAGATAGAGCTGTGTTTTCACGGGGTTTCAATCTCCCTACACTGAGGAGACACCAGTTGGAAAAAGTATTGCTCAGAGAGCCCGATTTGGCCACTCTTTGACTGGTGACCTTATACAGGTCAAGGAGCTTGAATAGACCCATTGTCCCCTCTGCTTCTTAACTTTTTGATTGAGAAATAGACACATGCTTGTCTCGTGTCATGGTTTGAAGGCCAGATTGGAAAGTAGAAAAAATATGCTACATTCTTTAGAATATTTGAAGTAATATTTGCTAGCAACAATAACAAAAATCTAGCTCAAACAGGATTAAATTTAACTGAAAATTCTAAAGTTGTTCGGACCTCAGGTTTGGCTTGACCCAGAGGCCCCTGGGAGTATGGAGATTCACATGTCTGCCATTGTCTCAATTCTGCCATGTGTAACTTCAGTCTCAACTGACCCCTTTCTTGCTAGTGAACACAGCCACTAAAACTTGAAATACCACCTTCTTATGTCTTCCTTCCCAATAGACTAGAAATCATCAATTCCAGATTCTTCTATAGCAAGAAACCTTCCACTACAGAAGTCCTCTGCAAATGTCTCCTCTTTGGTGCAAACTGGTTCAGATGTCCCTCCACCAAGACCTGTATAAGAAGATCATCTGATTGGCCAAGCTAAGCAAAGTGTACTCTGCAGAGAGGTACAACAGCACATTGACTCTTTCGTCATTTTGCTGGGAAACTCTGAGTTCTGTTAAGGAACAAAGAGGTAGGAACAACTGTCAGAAAGACAAACAACAAACACTCAATATATCACAGGTCAGTATTGTTTGCCAAGAAAGGAACTCACAACAACACACAACACAGTAAAAAGAGCGTACCTGCCAAGATCCCCAGCTCACAAAATATATGTGTATACACCTCTCTCTCTCTCTCTCTCTCTCTCTCTCTCTCTCTCTCTCTCTCTCTCTCTCTCTCTCTCTGTGTGTGTGTGTGTGTGTGTGTGTGTGTGTGTGTGTGTGTATGTGTTTAAAATTGGTGACAGGGATTGAATTATGTGTGACTATGCACTTAAGTTTATTTACTGTTTTTGTTTCTCTGCCTGTTACAGAACAAAACCAATGCTGCTTCATGTAAAATCTCCACGCAGAATGTAGTCTAGGCCCAAGGTGACACGCTGTCACTAACCATCACACTTCCTTCACCAATCCTGCACCTCCACCCTCTCTACGCCATCCTCGGCTCGAAGGCCGGCCTCTCTCACCATCCTTCACATCATCTGACACTACCCTGACCAAAAGTTGAAGCAGCCTCCAGACCCCACTCCGTCTAGATGATTTTTGCTCCAGCGTCCCTGGAGAGCCATCGACCTCCTCTGACTCAGAACAGAAGGCAGTGCGTTTTCATGCATGTGCGCGTCTGATTTCCCCCATTCTTCTTTGCTCTCTCCGCCCCCCCTTCCTGGCTTCAAGCCCGCCATCAGCTCCTAAGACCTCATCCTGATATTTAGAATAATAGTCTTTTCCCACAGGTCATCAGCTTCTAATACGAATGTGTTTTCATCAATGGAAGGTGCAGAGTTGCAGGAATTATTCTACCACGGTTCAGAGTCGCAAGCTCGTTAAAGGCTGACTGTTGTACCTGCCAAAAGAATGGCAAAGGAAGAAGCTAGACGACTTTATTTTAATTCAACTAAGCAAAGCAATGCCCAGGAAGGGAGCTGAGGCACCTAAGAAGTGAGAAAACAAGGAGAAAATAAATAAACCACTAACATCTCGACACTCGTTTTATTGGCCTCTGAACTTCAACCGCAATGGGGGACATTCTAGTCACAAGCATAGAAACTTAAGGATGGGGCTGAGGGTAGCTCAGGGAGAAAGAGCACTTGCTATGCAAGTGTCCCAGACCTGAGTGCGAATCTTTAGAACCCATCAAAAAAAAAAAAAAAAACAGGGTGTGGCCATGAACACTTGTAACCAGAGCACTGTGGCAGGCAGACAGGGAGATCCCTGGGCTCAATGACTTCCAGCATAAGTCCAGATACAGTGCGAGATTGTGTCTCAAGCCAACAAGGTGGAAAATGAGGGAGAAAGACACCTCCTCGGCCCGTTGAATGAACCTATAAACTCAAGGCCTTAAGAACTCCTAATCCCCTGCTCTGGTTTACTCCAGGCAGGCCTGGGAAGTGGGAGCATGTGGGGTGGTAGGTGATAATAGCCCCCCTCTGCTCTCAGCCTCCTCCTCCGGGCAGCCATCACTAATCCATCCCAGCGCCCGTTCCCGTCCCCGGCAGCTCAAATGTGACCTGAGAATTGCAGTCCCACTGGTGGCCTCACTATTTTTATCATGAGGAACATTATCAGGCTATAAATTATTCTCTTCAAAAGGTTCCTAAATGCCCTACAGAATTCTGACATCCCATTTTCTCTTTGCTGACCCAAACTTTATTAGTCAAATACTCATAACTGGTGCTTCATACTCTTTCATAATATTAATATCATTCATAGAAGAGCAGCTGTTGTTGAACGCTGCTGTGGAAAGGATACTGAGGCACTGGCAACCCATCCAACTCTGAATGTCATGGAAATTGTTATATGCACAAGATAGTGATTCCAGGAGCTAGTAGCCCAGATGGCGAATCACGGATGCTCCGGAGCCCCTGTGGGGCAGTAGGCTGAGCTGGAAAACATTGGGTTTTTTGTCTCTACAGATACCTTGGTTCAAGAGGGCTCGGCCACTTCTCTGGGACTAATAGAGCCAAACAAGGACCAGGCAAGACATCAGTGTAACACTGTTGTATGGGCAGACTCCTTCAAGAATGACCATGTGTGTGACAAAGTGAGAGTCATCAAGAGCATGACTGTGCAAGGAAGTGACTGATGGAGGAGGGTTTTCTGTCTATTGTTACTTTCATTGGTTAATAAAGAAACTGCCTTGGCCTTCTTGATAGGCCAGCCCTTAGGTGGGTGGAGTAGACAGAACAGAATTGTGGGAGAAAAAAAACAGAGGCAGTCAGTCACCATGACTCTCCTCTCCAAGACAGCTGCAGGTTAGAGTCCTCCCGGTAAGCCACCACCTCGTGGTACTACACAGATTATTAGAAATGGATTAATCAAGATGTGAGAGTTAGCCAATAAGAGGCTGAAACTAATGGGCCAAGCAGTGTTTAAAAGAATACAGTTTCCGTGTAATTATTTCGGGTAAAACTAGCTGGGTGGCGGAATGCTGCCCGCCGCTCCTTTTACAAGTGACCATCACAGGCTTTCAAAACCCCCGCAACCCTCTATGCATCTCTCTCCTTCGCTCCTAGCTATACAAGTCCCTCTGCTCGTTCCCTGAGAAGTAGTCTGGTGGTGTGTGTTTTCAAAGGTGTGTGGGGAGTGTGTGTGTGTGTGTGTGTGTGTGTGTGAGAGAGAGAGAGAGAGGGAGGGAGGGAGGGAGGGAGGGAGGGTGGGAGGGAGGGACGGAGAGAGGAAAGGATTGAGGCTAGTATACATGTCATACACAAGGAAGGCAGGGCATGAAGTAAATGTAGTAGGGTTAATGGAGACTTCCTTAAGTGCAAGACCTTGTCTCTGAATGCTGAATAGGACAGACTGCTAAAATGCTGAGCTAAGGAAGAAGAACCCCCAAGCAGGAGAAAGCTGCACCATGGTGCCTGAATGGGAAAACACTGAGGCAGAGAGAACACAAAGAAGGAAGAAATAGAAAGAAAAAAAAGAAAAAAAAAAAACAGATCCCAGGAAGATCACAAGATGTTCAGATGCTCCACAAAGATCATGATGGTGCGATTTGCCCACTGCTTGCCACCCCTCCGCTCTGTTAGCATGACTACCTTAGTGAGCCTCTACCCTACTCCTGTCTGCTCTGGAACAAGGTGGGAAACAGAATCATCTGGTGAATGAAGGTAAAGGTAGGAAGGAGAGCCCTCCTCCTAAGTGAATGGAGCCACTTTTGGACACATAGCCAAGGCATGCATGCATGTCTCTCAGCTTAGGGACAAACCCACAAGAACCCACCTTGCTAGCCTGCACTGTAAACATATGAAGTAAATTTCTGAGCATGATGGTGCTTCTATGGAGACAAGCATCTTTTGTTCAAGCTGAAGGGGATGGATGAGCAGGCTTTCAAAGATGGTGAAGCTGAGTGAAGTGGTGGAAAAAGAGATGGTTTTCCTGTTGGGAAGCAAACATCAGGGAGAGAAGAATATGTCTTTTGAGTTTACGTTCAAATCCACAAAGCTCTTCTTCCTTAGCCAAACACACTGCACCCCTGGAACCTCCTCATATCAAATATTAACATTTTCCAGGAGTTTCCATGGCAGGGAGGGGGAAGGATTCAGTAGTAGCTTGTTGGGATGGAAGGAAAATGAAAATCAAAGGAAAGAAATTGTAGTTTGGATTAAGAGGAAGAATTATCAGAGGATCAAACTTCCTTAGTAGGTTCTCCAAAGCAAGTAGCTCCTGAGACTCAGAGCAGGGAATGCCACACACTGTCCTATTAAAGTTACCTACAGATCACTCTGTGAGCACCATCTAAGCTGAAATCACAGGGAACTGATCTTAAATGTGAACACTAGTCTCATCCCCAAAGATCTGACTTCAAGTGCCAGGCATTCCTTAACCACCCACAAACACTGCCCTCATACTGGAAAGCAGAGATGAGGTCCATAGCAGAAGCCAGTCAGAGATCCTGACTCTCGTGAGAATGGGCATCAGGATGCTGGTATCGCAGATCCAGTGGGCGGCTGGTACTCAGCTCCCGCAGTTCTTCCTTCAGTGTGAACTTCACCCAACAGCTGACGTTTCTGTCAACTCTTTGCTCCTTGTTTTTAACCTTGCCCTGCTCTCTACACGATAATGCTCTCTTCCTCTCGATCCTTTTCTCCCCTAGTCCCTGAGAGTCTCACTCAACCTCTGTGAAATGGAACACCGTCCACACGATGATGCGCTCCTAAGGTTTGATTGCGAAATGCCTTTCCCCAACCACCACCACCACCAATGCCAATCAACTCGGTTCTCAGCTCTTACTGGGCACTTGGAAAAGTTGTAGAATCTTTAGGAGGTGGAATCTTGTTGGAGAGAGTTGTCACTGTGGTGGGCCAGAGATTTTAAAGCCTGGCCCCACTCTCTGTTCCCTGACTGTAGATGGACAGTAACCAGAGAGCCTCTTGCTCCTGCACCATATTCTCCCCCACTGTGATGAAATGACCCCCACACACACACACAAAAAAAAAAACCTGTAAACTGTAAAACAGAATAAATCCTTCCTCCCTAAACTTGCTTCTTGTTTGTTTGACCACAACAATAAGAAAGGATGAACACACTCCCCTTGGGTGCCTTCTGTCCACTGTTGGGGACCTGATTTGACCTTACTTTGCTTTTACTGTAGAACCTCTAACCACCTATGGCAGCCCGAATTGTGGCCTCCACAGATGTCCACATCCTAAACTCTGGATCCAGCGGGGTTGTCACCTTACCTGGAAGAGCGGTTTTGCGGTGTGTTTAAGATCCAGGTGCTGAGTCAGGGGCATGATGCTGAACTGTGCTAGAGGGCTAGGATGTCTGTATCAGAGGGAAGAAGAGGGTCCAGGAAGCTGGGGCAGTGGAGGCAAAAGTCTCAGTGATGTGAAGAAGGAATCAGAAGTTTTTAGAAGCTGGAAATGAACAGAAAAGAGGGACTCTCCAAAGACTCTCCAGAAGGGACAGAGTTCCACGGGCACTTTGATTTTGACCTAGTGACACCCACACCAGGAAGCTGGCTCTCAGATCTATAAGATAACGAATTGGAGTCATGCTGAGCCAAGAGGTTTCAGGCAATTATTTTTCAGCAACAGCTGAAACTGAGCACCACAAATGAAGCAGTAATAATGCATATTAATTTGGTAAGCTCTATCTTTGCACAAAGAAGGGACACTTTCCATGAGGGCAGTGACTTAGCTTGTTCTTTGAAGCCCCCACCCCCAGCATCTGACGCACGCTTGGGCGTGAGGATATTATTTGTTGAATGAATATGGACCACCGTGGCTTCGCCTTTCTCTTCAGTGTCAAAAGAGACACGAGGACCTGGATCTTGGAACCAGAAGGTCACAGCTTCGTGTGTACCGCAATCACATTCCAGGTCCTGCAAGTATAGATTTCAAGAAAGTGGTTCTCCTCTCTGCAAATAGATGACTCCATGATCTTTGGTGCCATGTGTGAGCTCACAAAATTCCTTTGACACAGTTGTAGCATCCCGGCTGACGGCCCACCATCTTCAGCACTGGCAGGCATCACCTAATGACACAGGTCACCTCTAATCAAATGAGTACCTATCGCTAGAGATTTTTAAGTGACTTTACCAACACTAGAAAATTATAAAATCGAATGTCGTTCCTTTTCTTCCTGAAAAAAAAAATCTCTTTTTCCACTTCTGTCATTAGCAGAGGATCTTCTGGATGCGCTCAAGAAAAAATGGCTCCAGCTCTGAGCTCGATTTTCTGCCGCTTGCAGGGTGCGGTACTGCTCATGAGGCTGGTGGTGGCATTTAGCTCCTCCATTGACACATCTGTGAAGTCCGTGGGCGAGTGAGACTGGAACTCATCACAGGGAGAGGCATAGCCCGTGGCATATACCGTAGCCATCAAGGGCTTCCTTTCGCAAGTGACTACAATCCTTCCTCACAGTGTCTCACCACACAGCAAAATGTGTTGGCTCCCGTGACTGATGGGCCTGTAAAAGTGCCAACTTCAGTCGGGATGCCACGCTCCTCAGACGCCGCTTCTTGTCTACCTGTTGACTCTGCACCTCTCCTTTTTTTTGGCTTCTCATTGTGTCAGGAAATGTCTGTTCTTCTTCTTGCATCTTTCCTGCTCCCA